AACGTAACACGATCAAGAAGATTCAAAACAAACGTCCGTTTTGTCAGAAATCGTCTATTTCTTGAAAATCTGCATAGACCTTTAGTGCTTTAACAAAAAGTTTTCGCTAGACAATTTCACTATAGAAACACCCCTTCTTAACCATAATACGTGGACCCTAACCCTAACATAAACGAACTTCGAAGAATTTATGCTGCGCCACAAACCTGGGCAAAGCCATCTGATCGGTTGATCGGCAGAAGTTTGTCTGATTGGCTAATGTAAATCAATTGCCCGGAACCTTAGTCGACTGCAAACGTTCAATATACAAAAGAATCAAAAAAGGATCAAAATCCCAAAGAAGTTTACTTAGAAGACAGAATATACTGTCGTCTATTGGACCGTGCAAAGAGCAAAGTAACTGGAAATGTTTTTTGTTTAAGCTGCTTTATTGCATTAGATTCAAAATTTTTATTACTACTAACTGTTTAACTTGAATAGGTACAAGTTTTTTAGTATTGAAAAATTTGGGTTTAATTTGTAGTTTGTTGGGTTCGTTAACTGTAAATTTAATGGGTAAAGTGGCGGATCATATAATATTTAACATGCAGTTTACCGGTTGGAGGCTAATGATTCTTATACCATTCGATTCTGATCAATAGGTTGCAAGATAATCGTCACTTACTCTTTGTATAGAACGAATGATACTGCGGATTATTTTCTTTAACGGGGGATCGCTAAAGCCTTGTACCCACGTGATTTTTTGGTTTTTATTGTAATTAGGGGGTAAAATTCCCTTCCCAACATTTTTTCGTTTTTTGATTTTTTTGATTTCTTCGGGCCGATCCGTGTAAACATAGAAAAAGTCACGTGGGTACAAGGCTTTATCTTAACGGTCGATCAATCGATCCGCCACCGGCGTTATAGCTACTTCGCACTAATAAAAGTCTACAAGTCCTTGTTTTTTTTTTTGATTTTATAATTTAAATATCGAAATAAAATTTGCATTTACTATAAGCAAATTTTTGATAAAATGATAAACATCACTTTGCGAGTATCTATCTATTCCTTATACGCGATAAAATATTTTGTATATATAGTTTTCTAGTACCGGTACGTAGTATTGAAACAAATTTGATTGGTTAATTATCATGAGTAATCACGAGTAGACCTACAAAGATTAACCAATCAGACGAACTTCTGCCTATGAGGCCTGCATTGTATTAATGCTGGCCAGCCGACCCAGTTTTCGGCCCGACTACCCTACCAGTGTAACATCGATAATTTTTATTTAAGAACGTTCGGTATCTTCTCTACTTCTGTCCGAAGTTTTGATTTTTTCGTAATGTCTGATCATTCTGAATTAATTGAACGCTTTACCGCGATTGTTTCCTGTGATGAGCAACAAGCTCGATTCTATTTGGAAGCGAATAACTGGAATTTGAGTGTAATTAGAAGTCTTTTCTGGATCTTTAAAGTGTAAAATGTGTAAAATTAGCTATCATGAAAATTTTTTAAGGTATTCCGTTAATGTTAGGCTGCGGTGGGCAATTATTATGAAGAACCACATGAAGGAAATGACGTAGAAGAGGAAAATGCTGAGGGCTCGTTTCAAGGGACGCAAGTTCCTGCGCCTCATGGCACAGCTTCTGGCTCAACACAAAAAAAAAAGTATGTCTGACGCAATATTTCACAGTCTTTCTTTATAAATCTTCTTAAATAAACTATTCCTAATGATCAAAAATATTCTATTCCTAGCTCCCAGTATGCTACTTTACGTGATTATGATAAAGAACAATCGGATGAGGAGGAAGAGGAAGAAGTGCGCGAAAATCTATTTGCCGGTGGTGAAAAATCGTGAGCTAGCAATGCTAATTTTAAATATTATTGCCTATTGGATAAGATCTTACATTCAATGTTTGATTTTTACTATTGTACAGTGGAATTTTTATGCAAAAACCCGGCTCAAAGCAGCCAAGATCATTAGTTCAGGACATTCTTAAAAAGGCGACTGAGTAAGAGAAGATTTTATCTAAATATAATGTTATTATACAATGGGATAATCCTTGAATTTTATGATCTATGTTTGATATAAGAGGTGGGCGTGGATATGAAGAACCGGAAACTACACCTGCTCCACGCACTTTCACTGGCACTGGTAAGATTCTTTTTTCCTACATATTATTTGCGCATAAATTTGAAATATTTTTGCGATCGCAGGTTACAGACTTGGAAGTGATGAAGAACCTTCGGTTGAAGTGAATTCACAACCTTCCACCACTGAACCACCCAGAACGGTGAGCACGTTTACTAAATAATGTTTTTAAAAAATTCTTCGGTTTAACAATAAAACACCATAGGTTGTCCGTCATTTGACATTTTGGAGGGATGGATTTAGTATCGAGGATGGTCCTCTAATGGCATATGACGATCCAGCAAACGAAGAATTCCTTAAAGCCATTAATAATGGGTACTTAAGGTCGTCATTCTACTGATTAATTGAAGTAAGATATTAACTTTGGATTAATTATTTGCGCAGACGTGCACCTTTGGCCTGGCTAAATGTAAGATATGATCAACCAGTGGATATTCGTGTGGAACGCAGGTTGGATGAAGACTATCAACCACCACCTAAAAAACCGGCCACGCCATTTTCAGGTTCCGGACAAAGGCTTGGCAGGTCGGTTAATCCATTAAAAATGTATTGATTTTGTTTTTTATTTTATTGATTTCTTTTTTTTTTTAGTCCAACTCCCGCAGTTGTAACTAGTAGCACACCTGGTGCATATCCTTCAAGTTCTTCAACACCAAGAGCTAACGAATTAATTATTGATGAAACACTGCCGATAACATCCATCCAAATTCGTTTAGGTGATGGAACGAGGTGAGGAAATATTATAACAAAATGAAGGATTCCATTTACTGCTATTGAAACCATTTTTCTTTTTTAATTTATGTCATACAGGATGCTTGCTAGGTTCAATCATACTCATACTGTTTCCGATATCCGAAATTTCATTAACGCGTATGCCATAAATCGTTAAATATTGAAAATTTAAATGTTTCAGTTTGTATTGATTGTACTTATATATGAATTTATTTAGTTCGATGGTTGGTAAATCAACACAGAGATAGTTATGCGTCCTACATTGGCCATCATGCTTTGATCTCATATTTTTCCGTAGCGCAGAATGAATGTATTGCTAGAGTCAAATTTGAGTTCATAGAAGTAAGTCGATATTCTGCAAAGGTCTTTCTTTCTGATATGCGGAGCTTATATTTACGATTTTTTTTTTAGAAAATGTTACAACCTTGTGGGATGCCCGTACCTCGAGATGAATAATTACTATTAATGGGTGTCGTTAAGTGTCCAGAGAGATTCAACTTTTTGTTAAATAAATTTGTTTATCAAAATTCTTAACAAATTTTACCTACTTCTATATCATCGTCATTCTACTACTAAATCACCCTTAAACAGTCTCTCAAATTTACTAGCTAAAATATTTTTTGTTATTCAACATTTATTTATTTACTGATTTACTGTCAACATTTGATTTGCATTTTACTTTTTAAGCGAACATATTGTGACCGAATGTATTAGACTTATATGATAACATCATGTTAGTACGGTGATAATTTTTTTGATCAGAGAATAATCAAAAAAAAATTATCGCTGTATCAATGTGATGTATCTCAGAATTATCATACTGTTTATATTTTTTTAAACTTCTTTAATTCATATGGTGCAAAATGATATAAGTATGGATGACGTAAACCGTACAAAATAACGCAATTTGAAATGTGTCCCAGGGAAATTGACAAGGAAGAGGATTGGTTTTCCGTTCACGTGATCGTCCGAAGTCAATTGTCTTCAAACAAAAAAATTCACTTACGTTAAGTGTCCTTATAGTAAAATTGCACGAGGAATTTTTTTTGTTAGAACCCAGAAGGTGATTTACTACAAGTCATTCTCGTTATAGTGAAGTGATCGGGCTAAAAAAAAAATTCTTCACTATAGCTTATATCGAGATAAACTTTATTATATCGAGCGAAGAGTTAATAATAATGGCAATGAATTTAAAAAAAATTCTTCACTATATCAAGAT